CTCCGTGAGGCGGCTTCTGGCCCCGCCTGGCACCGCACGACGGGCCTGACCCGACCCGACCCCGCCCGCCGCCCGCTCTGCCTTCACCCTCGCTCGGGGCCTTGAGGCCGCCTGGGCCCGAAGACGCCGCTAGTTCCCTCTTGCGGAGCGAGAGAAACCTCTGGGCTCGGAGAGGGTCCCTTTGAGGGTGGGGAAGTGATCTTTTTCTGCCGGGTTTCGGGCTCACGCCCTTCCTCAGGCTCAGGGAAAGCGGGAGATGGGAACACGCCCCCGTTATGGGCAGGGCCGGCCCACCCCTGCAAGATCAAGTTTTGGGCCCCCCACCCCGATCCGTCGACAAAAATCTGCGTCGTGGCGGGGGGGAAACTCACCGAAATAAACTAGCGGGGCCAGGCGGGGAAGGGGCTCTGCCTGCATCCAGCCCTTTCCATAAGGTGCGGCGGTGGGGGGCAACTGGGGCCTGCGCCCACGGGTCCCATGACACGGCTCTGATTATAGGTAGGAAATAAACTTCATTTTTGCACAGAAGAAGCTGAAGGTGGAAGTCTGCCCCTCTAGGTCCACGCCAGTGTCTTTGAGAGTTGCTTTTCAATGGGCAGATACAGCAGGATTTCTTCCCTGGTGGTGGCAGGAAGGCAGGGAGGTGTAGAAATCTTTCTTGTTCAACAATGAAGTTTAAATCCAAAAAATCAGCTAAAATTCAGCATCTTCCGTGTTTCAGGCATGGGTTTTTTGTTAGCCGTGTTGGTCTGAGAGCTTCCTCTGTACAAAAATTAAGTTTATTTTCTACCTGTGGGGACTTTTTACCATCTTTAATTTTCCCTGAGTCTAAGGTGCGCATACCTGAAAGCTTGCAGGAGAAGATAATATTTTTGCACTTCAGTAGTTGGTCAAATAAAAGGTATCGTTTCTGAACCAAGAGGTCCAGAGTTCTGCATTTCTCTCTCAGCACGTCACAGGAGGAAACCAGCAGTGTCCTTGGGCCAAGGCAGCCTCACACAGCTTGCATTTCTTCTTTGTCGGCTACCAAATACATCCCTGAGAGAGAAATTCACAGTTACACATAGTGCCCCCACTCCAGCCTCGCTCATCTTTCCTTCTCCCCTCCCCTGAGGTGCTGCTGCTCTTCTTCAGAGCATTAGTTTGGCTTGGAAATAGCACACAAATTGCTCCCGGGCAGCTGGGGCTGAATGCAGTTATAAAGCCGAACGGTGGGTGCATCCACACATGTGCTTTCATTTCATAGTTTCATAGTTGTAGGGTTGGAAGGGACCTGAGCAGATCATCAAGTCCGACCCCCTGCCATGGGCAGGAAAGGATGCTGGAGTCAAACAACCCCAGCTAGGTGACTGTCTAGCCTCCTTTTGAAGACCCCCAGAGTAGGGGCGAGCACCACTTCCCTTGGAAGTTGGTTCCAGCTCCTAGCCACCGTGACAGTGAAGTAGTGCCTCCTGATGTCTAGCCTCATTCAGGCTAGAATCTAGCCTGAATCCTAGAACGGTCGGACCGTTCTAGGAGGTTCCTGGCTGAGATACAGGACCTCCACTTAACCCAGGAGGTGCACAGTCCCACCAGAGGAAATGCCCTGTTGGACCTGGTCCTGGCCACAGGCAATGATCTGGTCAGGGGGCTCCAGGTCCTGGACCACCTGGGTGATAGCGATCATCGCTTGCTGGAATTCACCATACAGCGCAGGGTGTCAAGGGCCTACAGCAAGGCGGTAGCCCTAGACTTCAAGAGGGCCAACTTCAACAAGTTGAGGAGATTGGTGGGAGAGGCGTTGGGGTTCTCAAGGGCAGGGGAACTCAGTGCCCAAGATGAGTGGTCGTTCCTTAAGGAGACGATACTCAGGGCCCAAGAGGTGACAATCCCAACAAGAAGCAAGGGGGGCAAGAGTGCCCAAAAGCCTCCCTGGCTCACCAAGGAAGTCCGGGAATGCTGGTTGCCAAAAAGGTGGCGTACACCCAGTGGAAGGGGGGGACTGTCTCCAAAGAAGAATATACCTCCACTGCTTGGGACTGTAGGGGGGCTGTGAGGAAAGCTAAGGCGGACATAGAGCTAGGACTAGCGTCCAAGATCAAAGATAATAAAAAGTCCTGTTTCAAATATATAGGGACGATGAAGAAGGCGCCGGGAAATGTGGGACCCCTGCAAGATGCGCTGAGCAATCTGGTGGTTGTGCCAGAGGAGAAGGCAGACATCTTTAACAAATTCTTCACCTCC